CAAAGAAGACATCCAGATGGCCAACAGACACATGAAAAAGTGCTCTATATCACTCCGCATCAGGGAAATACAAATCAAAACCACAATGAGATATCACCTCACACCAGTCAGAATGGCTAAAATTAACAAGTCAGGAAATGACAGATGCTGGCGAGGATGCGGAGAAAGGGGAACCCTCCTACACTGTTGCTGGGAATGCTAGCTGGTGCAACCACTCTGGAAAACAGCATGGAGGTTCCTTAAAATGTTGAAAATAGAACTACCCTATGACCCAGCAATTGCACTGCTGGGTATTTACCCTAAAGATACAAATATAGTGATCCGAAGGGGCACGTGCACCCGAATGTTTATAGCAGCAATGTCTACAATAGCCAAACTATGAAAAGAACCTAGATGTCCATCAACAGACGAATGGATAAAGAAGATGTGGTATATATATACAATGGAATACTATGCAGCCATCAAAAGAAATGAAATCTTGCCATTTGCGACAACGTGGATGGAACTAGAGGGTATCATGCTTAGTGAAATAAGTCAATCAGAGAAAGACAACTATCATATGATCTCCCTGATATGAGGGAGAGGAGATGCAACATGGGGGGTTAATGGGGTAGGAGAAGAGTAAATGAAACAAGTTGGGATTGGGAGGGAGACAAACCATAAGTGACTCTTAATCTCACAAAACAAACTGAGGGTTGCTGGGGAGAGGGGGGTTGATGGGGGTGTGGGGTTATGGACCTTGTGGAGGGTATGTGCTATGGTGAGTGCTGTGAAGTGTGTAAACCTGGAGATTCACAGACCTGTACCCCTGGGGAAAAAATAAATATATGTTTATAAAAAATAAAATTAAAAAAAAAACAATGGTGGAGTCACTTTATGAAAATAAGTTCCACAGATAATTTATCTGAGAAATTGATATTTATCTGAGAAATTCACTTCTGAGTGGCAGAGAAGTTCCCAAAGATGGGTGAAAAAGTATGTATTTAAAAGTATGTAGGGGGGTGCCTGGGTGGCTCAGTGGGTTAAAGCCTCTCCCTTTGGCTCAGGTCATGATCTCAGGTTCCTGGGATCGAGCCCCACATCGGGCTCTCTGCTTAGTGGGGAGCCTGCTTCCCCCTCTCTCTCTGCCTGCCTCTCTGCCTACTTGTGATCTCTGCCTGTCAAATAAATAAATAAAATCTTTTAAAAAATAAATAAATAAAAGTATGTAGGGATGCCTGGGTGGCTCAGTGGGTTGGGCCTCTGCCTATGGCTCGGGTCATGATCCCAGAGTCTGGGATTGAGGCCCGCATCAGGCTCCTTGCTCAGCAGGGAGTCTGCTTCTCTCTCTGCCTCTGCCTGCTTGTGCTCTCACTCTCTCTCCCTCTCTCTCTCTGACAAATAAATAAATAAATAAAATCTTAAAAAAAAAAGAATTACCCTACTTTCAAAAAAAAAATAAAATAAGTAATGTCACCTCAAGTACTTAAGGAAAAGTTTGCATGATGAAGCATAATTTCTCTGACTTCTCAGATCTAGATTTAATTTGATAAATTCAATACATTTCCATTATTATAAGAAAAAATGAATATTACCACAGAAAAATAGATGGGTTATTTCACTTCATTTAGTCCCATCACTTGCTCTTTCTGTGGGACTATCATTCAATCTAGCTTATTATAAAGAAGACACATAAGGTTTTGTGATAGCTGTGGAATCAACCTATGACATTACATAGCGTTTTTTTTTTTTTCCTTTTTTTAAAGTAAACTCTATATGCAGTGTGGGGCTCAAACTCTGCAATCCCAAGATCAAGATTTGCATACTCTACTGACTGAGCCAGCCAGGTGCCCCATCACAGAGTGTTTTTTTATCTGCCTAAATTTTTTTTTATTTCTGGGTTGGTGCATTCATCTTGAAATAGAGTCATTTTACATAGTTCTGTATTTAAGCCCTATAAAAATCAAAATCTCTTAATAACACTTGATAATCCAAATCTATTGTTATAGTATAATGTAATAGTTATGTAAGGATATCATTCCCCATTATATATATGCAACCTAATTATTCAGTGGCAACCACCAAAAAAAAAAAAAAAGAAAAGAAAAACAGAACAAAACACTTATTCCATGGTACATAAAGATAGCACTATGATCTCAACCTGAGTACTCCCGTGAAAATAAATTATTTGGCCCTGGTTAGTGTTTATTATAATAATTCTCAGAAGAATGAGACGTACTTTTAATGACATTCTAGCTTATGTAAGACAATAAACTTAAAAAATTTCATAACTTTGAACTTTAACTTTTTCAGTATTCTTCAGTTTGATTTGCTCCATGTGTACTTCTTCCAGCAAGCCACAGAAGTTGTAAACAATGGAAAATAGAAAAGGCTAATGAATCATATTTTGGGACATGGAAAAGGTCAAAGTTGTACAGTTTATGATTACCTTCTAGAGAATATATAGGGCATTAAAATTCTGATGCTACAATCTTGTGACATAGAATATAATGAGAACTATAAATAATAAACAGTATGACATGAATCTTCTTGTGACAATAGGAAATACTTAACCCAATTCCCTTTACTAGCAGAAGAAAGGGCTACTTTGATGATGTTTATCTTTTCCTTTTGCAATAAAGAGCTATTTAAGCCACAGAAAAGAAAAAGAAAATATTTATGTTCAAGAGTGATGAATATGTTGCATTATGAGCACTTTCCAAATTGAATAGGATGTTGTGCTATAGGTTAATATTTGCTTATGTTATACTACAATAATTTAAAAATAGCATTTTTAAGGCAAATCATGTGTTTAAAATGAATGTTTGACTGTCATTGAGGATGCCGGCACCTATGATAATGAAATGTTACAGTATTCCCATACAGAGGGTGTGAATAAACAAAAATACTTACAATTTACTTGCATTTAACAACAAGATCCCAGGCTTATTCTATACTTACACTTACTGAAATTTGTTATATAGGCACAGAGCTCTCCATAAACTAAAGAAAATATATTCATCCTATATCACAGAGTTATAAATAAAACTTCAATGCCTCAGTTGATTAATAGCTATTTTTTTATTGCTCACTATAGGTATTCAGTGCTGAGAAATGACACAAAAAATAACAAACACAGGATGTTACAAAAGAGAACAGATTGCTGAAAACCAGCAGTTTGTGTTGGTGTAACTTCCTTGTTACAGAGAATTTGTCATGAATTGTTGTAATTGTGGGTAGTCTTTCAGAGCCTTTATCACTCTACTTCCTTTGAGAAAGAAAATGTATCCTGTCTTGCTGTCACTTACACACCTTTTGGCAACTTTCCAGAGATTCAGCACTACTGTTGACACAACTTGATTTCTTGTCAAAACATCTTTTAACATCTGGCTCAAAAGATATCTTTGATGACTATAAGCATGCCCAACTCCTCTGTTCATTAAGGCTGAAAATTCAGTAAGTGTTTGATACACTGGGACTAAGCTACCTCATAGTGAGCAGCTGTCAAATGATTTGCTGAATACTTCTGCTCAACCCACCATAGTGAATTGATGGAATTGTGCCAGCCTTAGGACATACAAAGAGCGAAGGGAATTTTAGCAAGCATTATCCAGATGCTCCTTCTAAGCCCTGCACTGTCACCTATAAATTTAGAACAGTCTATTATTAAATAAATGGAGAAAAATAAACTTTATGGATCCATGTGCCTTCTTTGTCAGAGTAGCAACAAACCTGTTATTGGTGCTAAAAACACATTAAGGCTTTGTTTATAGGCTAGATGTCTTTTGGATCTACAGGTTTTCTCAGGTTTTAACTGCTTACATCACCTACACCATCAGCTATGGACCTGAAAAAATGATTAATTGAAGAATCATTCTCTAAAGACATTTCTAATTTAGTGGTTGTTCATACATAATGGTGCTTTGTTTTAGGGCATTTTACTATATAGTGAATGAGTTGTGCAGTGGTCAGAATGACCATCTTTCCACTCTGCATGCTGCACTTCTTTCGCTGGAATTTGAAAAAGCTTCTATCCAGGCATTGTGATAATCTCTCAGACCCATCAGTATAATAAGGCATTGCAGCACATTATAGAGTACAAACACAGCAGTATCAGAGAAAATAATTCTATGTGAGTAAAGTATTTTCATTTAAAAGTTCTGAGTAGATAGTAGCCCTGTATTCAAGCAATAGGTGAAGAGATCAGACCTCTTCCACCTTGTCCCTGGACTTTTATAAAGCCAGCTGTGTATATACTGTGTTCATATACCTCAACAGTGTAGTGTTGAGGGGCAGACTAGATCATGTTTGAAGCAATGATCTACAACTCTATCTCCTTTGCCCACTCCTCTACATTTTAATAAGAGAGCAAGAATCTTAAGCAGGTTCCATGCCCAGCATGGATCTGGGGCTCCATCTTACCCCTGAGATCATGACCTGATTCCAAATCAAGAGTCAGAGGCCTAACCACTGAGCGACCCAGGCATCCCACTCCTGCCTTTTTCTTTCCTCACCTTTGAGCCTGGTTCTGCCTCTAATTGGCTGTTAAGTGTTGGTTAGTACCATCACTGGTCTCATCCTATTCTCACTCACTGTGCATTTTTCTCTATTATCTGGACTTTGGTCTACTTTATGTACCTTATTTTATTTTTCCCATCCTATTGTGAACAACCCCCATAGCCTTAGGTAGATAGTAATTCCCTACCCTAGATCTGGCCTTGCAAGAACACTATTGACCCTCCCCCAGTCACATAGGAGCAAGCCAGACTAGGGATTCAACTAAGCTACTTAGAAAGTACTAGCACATGACTGCTTTAATTTCCTTAAAGTTAGAAAACAAAAGCCAAAGTTTAAGCTCCCGGGGTTGCATTTTTAAAAACAATTCACAATATTTCAAACTTCAGAATCTTTATTGAATCTCCAAACACATAAGGCAAGCAAAATGTAAGAGGGTAGGGGGTTTTCAAATATTAAAACATAAATGAGTAATTTTCACCTTTTCCCTCAGCCCTTTTTTGTCATCAGTTATTCTCTCTGTTTGAGAGCGCAGGAGCAGGCATGCCCCAGGAAGGAAAATTGGCCAAATAAGAAGGCAGGGTAGGACCAAATATCGGGGGTGGAGCAAAAGCAATAGGCATAGCAAGAAATGGACTGAAACTCGGAGGTCGAGGAGATATAAAGCAGTGAGCAGTAGGGTGAGAAGGTAAACTGGGAGTACTGGAAGACAAAGGGAGAGGCTTAGGCCAGTTCTCCACTGGGTGCTGGGGGCCTCCTGGTGGGAAAGAAACATGAGCCAGCCTTTCCTTGCTGGCCATTCTTGTATTTCCTGGAGGCAGCTCCATCATTACCCCTGATCGAACAGTGGGGAATGTGGGGGCCCTCTAACTTGCAGACCCCTGGATGGAAAGAACCCTTGACCTGGCAAAACCAGGTATAACTTGGCATTATTGCCACCTCTTTGGGTGTCCCCACTGCTCACCCTTGCCCCCACTATCATCAGTGCTAGAGGGCTGCCAGAGAATTCCTGGGACACATTAATAGAATCTTGTTCTCTAAGCCTCCAGCCTGCCAACCCCTCAGAGCTATTTACTTCTGTTGTTGCTAGGGACTCTTCCTTAGCAACAAGTGGTGGCCCATAGGGGTGTTTGTGAGCTCTGGAACTGTTGACAGGAATGCAAGCTCCTGCTGTCTCGGAGGGGCATTCCAGCTGCTCTCTTGCCAGGTCAGTCAGCACATTGATGGGAGCTCTCAGCAGGACCCGATGGTGGCCCCAAGCCTCCTCATCATCTTTTGGCATGGAACTTGGACGCTGGAGGGACATGTCGTCAGGATGCGACTCCCGCATCCCACACTCATTGGCAATTGCTCCATTAGGTGAAGGGGCGTGCCCACCAAGGCTTGCAAAACTAGAAATAATTAAATAAATAAATATGAAATGCAGTGATCTGAGAGTATCTGGAAATACGTGATTGATTAAACTCGCTGGAATATACCTATATAAAGGTAAAGGGAGAGCCTATCTCCTCCCACGTGAAGTCAGCGAGCACTTTTTTAGCCTATGCTCACCATACCGGATGGCTTCTTTTAAACAGATACCCCAATTTCCCTTTATGGCTTTCTTGTGGCTCCACCCCATTCCTCATTTCCCCACCTCCTCAATGCAGCAAGGAAGCGAAGACCCAGAGAGTTTCTTTAAGGGATGCATGAGCAGGCTTGCCATAGAAAACAGCAGCTCTTTCCAGTCCCCCTGTAGGACCCATGCTCCACAAAAGCCCAGCATTCAGATTCTGGCACGAGTGTTCTAGAAAGTGTTGTAAGGAAAGACTTTTTTTTTTTCCTTCTTCTTTCTCCACTGAAGTCAAAGAAAGGTTATCTGTGTTAACAAATGCTCTAGTGTGTTTGTCTCTCTGAAGCATCATTCACCATTTGCAACAGAATTTTGTTAAAATTTTCTTTCATTCAACCCGTACCACACCCTGGAGAACGAATTTCCTCAAGTTTAACACCAACTATTTGGACTAAGGATTTGCAATTTTGTTTCAAAATTACATTTAAGAATTGCTGCCCTTGGGGTGCCTGGGTGGTTCAGTGGGTTAAGCCTCTGTCTTCGGCTCAGGTCATGATCCCAGGGTCCTGGGATCAAGTCTGGCACCGGGCTCTCTGCTCAGCAGGGAGCCTGCTTCTCCCTCTCTCTCTGCCTGCCTCTCTGACTACTTGTGATTTCTCTCTCTGTCAAATAAATAAATAAGTAAATAAATAAATAAAATTGCTGCCCTTAAATGCGGTATTTTTAGTACCAGATTTTGTATCCTGCAAGGTTTTTGTCTGTGATCCCCTCCTGCATGCTCTCCAGCCCACTTGTCCCTGTCCCAGTTACACAGAAAAACAATTAAAAATGCCTTTTGCCTTCAAAATTAAACAGTACTATACAGTTTTGTACTTACACATTTTCAATACAAGCTATGCAGAAAGTTGATCAGGAAAACCTTTGTGAGGTGATGGAGAAAACCAGCAGAATGCTGACTAGGCCAATTCAGTCTGGAGAGAGGACTTGCACTTCTGCCTTAGAGCTGCTTGGCAACTTGAATGAAGCCAGAGACCAACTCTTTCTAGATTTGGAGTTCTCTTTCTGAGGTTAACAGTTGCTAGGGAAGGGAGGGAGGAAAGGAGTGAGGAGGGGGAGGGGATAAATCTGTGACACTCCTTTGAAGCTAAATGTAAGACTCCTTTTTGCATAGAAGTAGATGGATGGTAAAGACTTTCGCAAAGTTAACCCTGTTGCAGGGCAGATGGAAAGAAAAATCATTTAAAGATTTTAGAAGAATCATGGAGGCCTGGTACTTTATTAAAAGTTATTTCTGAAGTTTTAGTTAGGAAAGATAGTTACCATGTCTCTTCCTTGTGTTTGAAAATACAAACATCGAGCACTTTACCATGCCTAGTCTTGTAACTTAAAATTTCAGTTTTGAAGATGCATACATGATGGAGAACAGAAGTTTATAGGGTTAAATTGGTTTTCAATCTGAGTCTCTTTTTTGAAGTTGAGGAAAAAAATAGCATCATAAAAAAATTACCCTAAAAATCATATTGGCTTTATTTTTTAGTCTCTCAGTTGTTGTGTTTTTTTTTTTTCTACCTTCTAGTTTACTGGTTTTGTATGTTGGTGCTCATGTGTGCTTCTGTGAGTGTGTTATATATATACATTTCCTGTAATAGAGCTCTGTAAATATACATTTTTCCTGTAATAGAACTCTGTGAACTTGTCTACAAAGGGGAAGGGGAATGGAAGGCATAACAGATATCATAAATTTATGAATATTAGTTCAGATTTCACCTTGTAACTTCTTTGCAGAAAGCACTTTCTGTTCTTTGAGCCTAAATTTCATTCTCTTCCTCCACTTTAAACTAGTATGCTTCCCCAGATTTTATTTTCTGCCATTGATATACAGATTGATTGCTCTGAAATTACAATGCCCATCCCCTCATATAAGATTATTAATCTTGCTCTAGGATAAAGCCATAAACTTGGCTCACTTCCTTAAATTTACCTGAGATTTGCACTTTTCAGACAATATCTTGAAGACTTTAAAATACTTCTATATTCCCAATATCAGAATATGCTGTTATATTTCAAAGGTTACATATTTTTTCTTAAAGAAAGATAACAGACTCAAATACAATGTGTTTCAAGTTATATATGGAATGTGTGTGTAAGTGTGTGTGTATGTATGTGTGTAGTGGATAAGTATAAAATACTAATGCAAAGAAATTGTCAGTGCTGTGAAGCAACACAATTCATGATAGAAATAACCTTTTGGGTCTGTAAATCCCGATCTTCCTGCCAGGGTGCCTTGTCCAAGTATGTACAGCATTGAGGGTTTTTTGTTTTGTTTTGTTTTGTTTGTTGTTTTTTTAATCTCCTTGAAAGATGAAAGTGTCATGTTTCCAACATTTCTCCCAAAAGAATCTGTTCACTTGCCTAGCATGGTTCACTATTAAGAAATTTCTTGATTCTCCAGCTTTCTTTATATTTTTCTTCAGTTTATTATTTCCTTGTTCTTTTACATAAGAAAAATTGTTATTAGCAATATAACTGTAGTGGAGCATTAGACCTTTCTTAACACTATGTCAGAGGGAAATTGTGCTAATGCCTAATAGGTGGTAAGTCATATTTACATATTTTATGCTTTTTTTTCCCTGAATAATGGCAAGGAAGCCCCAGGAAACCCTTTTATGCCTATCAAACTATTGCAATCATGGACTGGTTTACCTAGAAATATCTGTTTAGTAAAAATATATTAATTGGATTACATAAAAGTGAAGTATAATATGGACATCAAATAGCTGGGCACAGTGACAAAGCCAACGGCACCGGAGAATTTTCCAAAACCATAATAGATATTATAAATTTATAGATACTAGCTCAGATTTGCCTTGCAACTTGTTAGCTTTTGTGCAATGAATGTTTATTGAATGTCTACTGCATTGACGATTTGGTTCAGTGTGCCTTATATCAAAAAGTTAAATATGCAATTAATGGAGACTTCAAGGAATATTCAGACTTTCTAGGGAAACAAAATAACATCTATAAAAGAATCAAAGAATTGTATAAAAATGAATACAGACAACTCACTACATGTTGTAAACTAATACCACAATTAAAATTCAGAAGAAGGAACTATAATTTTAAGTTAAAGTAGCTGTGAAATATTTCACATGGGAGGATCAATGTGCTGTATATCGCAAAAAGGGAAATTGTATTCTGTGTCAAGAATAGGCACTGGGTGTGGTGCAAAAAACAATGAATACTGTTACGCGGAAAAGAAATAAAAAAATATATAGTATTAAAAAATTTAAAAAACATCAAAATCTAACTTTCTCTGTATAAAATTTTGTTTCAAGATTAATCATTTTTGAAGAATTAAAGTAATGATGGTTAACTAAAAAAAATAGATATGAGGGCGCCTGGGTGGCTCAGTGGGTTAAGCCGCTGCCTTCGGCTCAGGTCGTGATCTCAGGGTCCTGGGATCGAGTCCCGCTTCGGGCTCTCTGCTCAGCAGGGAGCCTGCTTCCCTCTGTCTGTCTCTCTCTCTGCCTGCCTCTCTGTCTACTTGTGATCTCTCTCTGTCAAATAAATAAATAAAATCTTAAAAAAAATAGATATGGAAGCAGGAATGAAGGAAAATTTTTGGAATTTTAAATTTAGTTTTATTTTTTATAAGACTTTTACTTATTTACTTGACAGACAGAGATCACAAGTAGGCAGAGGCAGGCGAAGAGAGAGGAAGGGAAACAGGCTCCTTGCTGAGCAGGGAGCCAGATGCAGGGCTTCATCCCAGGGCCCTGGGATCATGACCTGAGCCGAAGGCAGAGGCTTTAACCCATTGAGCCACCCAGGCACCCCAATTTTTGGAATTTTTTAGTTCATATTTCTAATCCCATCCAGGGCTCATATTTGCCAGAAATGGAAATATAAAGAACCACTTGGACTGTCTAGAGACAGCAAGATCAGCAAGATAATAGTCAAGTGGTACCAATCAGGTAATATTCAAAGGCACTCACATTTTCTAAAGGAAAAACTGGAATCATCTCAAAACCTACCTTTTGAAAAAAAAAAAAAGAGAGTTGAGCTACTTCAATTATCCATTGAGTTCTGAAAATGAAGTACTAAAATGTATGCCTTTTTTGTTTGTTTCTTTGAGTGACTGTTTTGGAGAGGGAAACATGGGTAATGGAAATTGAGAATTTGCCAAAAAGTAGCTTAGCTTTGAAATCAGCTAAGATATAAATGCTTTTCATTACCCATGGCCTCTTGTTTCATGACACAGCTCTATATATGACATACCTCTCAAAAGGTTTTGAAGACTGTTGAAATGCTAAGTAAGGATGGTAGAAGGATATATTTACTTTTGTACAATAATTACGATTGACCGTGGTTATACTGCCAAATCACGCTGTTGGGTTTTTTCAAAGAAATTTTGCAGATGTGTATGTGTATAAGCAAAGTTTCATTTAAAATACATCCTTTCTCTTTTACTTAGAAAAAGAATTCAAGGAATAAAAACCTAAGAATGGCTTTCTCTGTTTCCATTAGGCTAATCAGGAAGCAATGAGGAGATTGTTATGCTGATCTCTGGGGGACTGTTGCCAAAAGATTCCATCCCTTAACTCACTTTCAAAATGCGATGTAACTATTCTTGTGGAAAGTTCTGCAAGTTTAGGATATTGAAAAGTACTTCTCAAAGATAGACCAGATATTTTCAAGGGTCTGTTGCTATTTAATTAAGCAAATTTAAAAAGCATGATTATATCCCCAAATGTGTCAGACAGCATTATTCAGTTGCAAAACTATAGGCAGTACTCCTATCCTCTTTGCTACCAGCTGTTCTGCAAACCCTGTGTGGTAAGTGATGAGGATAAACAAGTGAGAGTGTGGTTACTTCACCACCAGCACTTGCAAAAACAACTAACAATATATGCCTCACTGTTGGACCTATTTGTATGAAGTTCAACATATTGTCATTGCTTTTCTCAAGTTCTTTGCTCCAGATTAAAAAAAAAAAAAGTTTCAAATCAGGTATTTATGGCAGTTACTCCAAAACAGGTTATTTCTTTGTATTGTTATGCCCCAATAATGGGTCCATGATTAAAGGAGCGAGACTGATAACAAAACGAAGGTCAAGCAAAGCTTTATTTTGTGCCAAGCATCAAGAATCTAACCGAATGTTCGGGGACGCACCTATTGCAAGAGAGGGCGACCCTTCTCTGTTTCACAGACTAGCTTTTAAGGGCAAAGGCCATGTGGTAGGGCCTGGCCATGCACAGGTGGCCAATGAGATTGTAACACACACAGGAAACTCCACAGTGATGCTAAGTGACCAATTGAGTTACAATTTACCCTAGTAGACATTTGAACCAGCCTATTACATCTTGATTGGGATTGGCGCCCAAAGGGCGGGGCCCATACTCCTTAGTAACCAGGGAGAGAGTATGCATCCCCCCACATGATCAGATGTCTCCACCTGGCCTGACCCACCTTTGTATCTGGGCTTTGTTACTTGAAGCTGGTTTCCGGGACTTGTCTCCAAGTAAATTCCCTGGGGGAAGGGGAGCAGGGACAGTTTCTAAATAGGTCCTTACAAAATAAATCAGAAGCTATCACTTCCTTGAACATCTGTCACTCTATTTTTTCTTGATCTCCTGAGAGTGAGAACTGGAAATTAATTAGCAGTACGACAAGCCAGATGGGGAGGAGGGGGAGGAAAAGGAAACCAAATTGTTTTGTTTTGTTTTGTTTTGTTTTTTACCACTTACACTGTACCAGTCATCTAATATATATTGTCTCATTTAATATTTACAGAAAACTTTTAAGGCAGTTGTTATTATTATACCTATTCTAGGGATGATAATAAAGAGAGTTGGAGAAGTTAAGTTTTTTTTGTTTGTTTTTTTGTTTTCTG